CCTACGGCGTGGTTCTGAGGAAAAAGGAAGGGGGAAATGTGTCTTCACAGCCGTTTGCGAGGGCTTCGGCAAATACTACTCCGAGCGTTGGCATATCATTCGAGGAAAGGAAATCATTATTATTTTGACCTTATAAGAACTTGTGTTATTCACAACAAGTAGTTACCCTAGTCCCAGTCTTGCCCCTTCTACTATGTCGCCACCAGTAACGGGCAGTAGTAACGGCGCGGCCCCTGTAGTGGCGGTGGCTCCATCTATGGACACCTTGGAAATCACTCCACTCGGCGCTGGGCAGGAGGTAGGGCCTAGGCAGTTCGAGCTCCTCAGCTGAGCTCAGGAGTTTTTTTCACACATTTTAAAGTGTTTATATACGAATTTGGGAAGAAGTGTACAGAAACCAATAAGAAATTCTGAAAATTTTCTCAGAATTTTCATATTGTCACCAACACATGTAGTTGACCATATGCATATTTCCCCCCCACACTGGGTCCAGGTGGCCTCGCCAGTGTTGGAGGAATATATGTTAGCTTTTCTCAGCCGAGCTCAAGAGTTTTTTACTAACTACAGGAGCTTTACATACGAATTTGGGTAGAAGTGTACAGAAACCAATATGAAATTCTCAAAACTTTTTCGGATAGTATGAATATTTCTCGTTGTCATCAGGTGGGTAGAAGCTGTGTTATATTGAAGTTCCGAGGAAGAACGGTCATGTTCGACTGTGGCATTCATCCAGCGCATACCGGGTAAAATCGTTGCTCTGTGAAGTCGCCAGTTGTTATCAGGATGACTGCCCTACCATTTTTCGATCATCTTTCGACTGCCGACCTCACTAACGTCGATCTGCTGCTGGTCACGCATTTCCATTTGGACCATTCTGGGGCGGTACCGTATTTGGTAGGAAGTGACGGAGGTGCGGTATATAAATGTCGTGGGTTTAGATAGGACGAACAGATTTCAAAGGGCGCACATATATGACCCATCCGACGCGACCAATATGTCGGCTACTATGGCAAGTAGTGTTCCCATTGTTTCTCATAGGCTTCGGTGATTACTCTGTTCAGGACTACGCTCGAGTGTCGAAAATCACAGCTGCTGAGGACCAAGTGTAAGTACGGTGGAAGTGTTACATCGCACCAACGTTTTAACACGGGCGAAAATATCCGTCTATCGTTGTAGGTACGGTCGAACTGATATTGACAAGTGTATGCAGAGAATAGATACATGCACGTTTCACCAGACGGTAGTTGACCACCATCATGATGGTGACCATCACTTGTTGTTTTTTCAGGTTACTATTTCAACTCCTGCAGGGCCGATTTCCTTTACAGCGTATCGTGCAGGTGAGTTGCTGGTTATAGTGGGGCGGTTGTTTATGGTATTTACTTAGGGCATGTCTTGGGAGCAGCCATGTTCGTCGTGGAGATAGATGGTGTGCGTCTACTCTATACAGGGGACTTCAGTCGGGAGGTAGATGTTATGGGGGTTCTCACTCTGTAGGAAAATTATGGGATAAACTCCCGAAGTGAGCTGACTGGCTAGTCCTATTGAGGAGAACCTGCTGACCAAGAATATAGTGTTGGTTT